GGTCAGTGGAGAGGAAGGTGGCCTGGCTCTGGAGACTGTGGCTGAGCCCCCGGGCAGTGGAACCCCTGGCATCCTGCACCCCCAGGTCCCTGGCTCACCACGGGCAGCAGCTGCAGGGGCAGGCAGCACCACGTGGGCGTGCAGTTCCTGCAGCTGCTGATGGAGCAGGTCAAGGCGGCGCGAGGAGCCACGCAGCAACAGCTCCACGGGGCCCAGGCTGCGGCCCAGGTCGGTGGTGGCGCGTCGCAGGTTCTCAGCACCCTCCTTCAGCTTCAGCTCCTTCCGGATTTCCCGCCGTAGCCGCTCTCGCTCCAGCTCCAGCTGCTGCTGCACCCCAGGGGCCGCCAGGTCCGCCCCCGCCAGGCCCAGCTGCTCCAGTAAGGACCAGCCGCGTGGCTCACTCTGCAGGGGATGGAATGGGGTCAGTAGAGCCAGGAGGAATCTGGGGTGCAGACTCACACAGCCAGCCTGGCCAAGTCTCCACCAGGGCTGGAACTCCCAAGACAGGGCCTGCTCCACCTCCTCTGATCCCTGCAACTGGGAGGTGCGACAGGCCTTCCTTGCTTCCTGACTCTCCCAAACTGGGGTGTCCCAAGGGCCTTCCTCCTTCTCTGCCCCCTCATACTAGGAGACCCCACAGATTCAGCCCTGTCTCTTTTTGTCTGTCCCTTATGCAGCAGGATTCTGGAGGGCAGACCCTGTTGCTCCCCCATGATGCCTCCTCAAACTAGGGCACCCCAAGGGAAGATTTCTTTCCTCTGCTGACCCCCTAAATTAGAGAGTCCTGAGGATAGGCCCCATCTTCCCTCTGCTGTTCCCCAAACTAAGGGTTCCCAAGGGCAGACCCCATCTTCCCCATCTTGTTCCCTAAACTAGGGGTTCCTGAGAGCAGGCCCTGTCTTCCCTTTCTGTTCCCCAAAACCAGGGGGTCCTGAGAGGAGACCCCATCTTCCTTCTTCCTATCTTCTACAACTGGGACTCTAAAGAACAGGGTCCCGTCTCCTTCTTCTATCTCCCCAATCTGGGAGCCCCAAAGGGCCCCAGATATGTTCATCCTCCAAACAGAGAACTCTGTGGCCACCACCCCATCTCTTCTCCCCAGTTTCAAACCAAAAGCCAGCCAAAGGAGGGCCTTTGGCCTGTGTCGCTTGAGGTCCCCTTCCGCCTGTCCCCCAATGACCCCAGCCCCCACCTCCTGCTCCTGCTCCAAAGGGGGATCAGCCTCCGCCATCCTGGGTCCTGGTTGAGGGCCCCGCCCTCTTCCTGAACCTCAAGCCCTGCCAGGGCCCCGGGGCTGCCACTTCCTCTTTCCTGTAAGCTCCCAGCACCCCCTGCGCAGGCCCAGCTCTGGGGCATTAGGGGACCTTCCCCTCAGCATGCACTACAGGGCGGAGACCAAGGGGCAACCCAGGGACAGCACTCACTCCCTGTCTGGAGAGGATGCCCAAGGCGTACACAGTATGTACACTCACATGGCTGTAGTGTGTACATGGCGCACTGGCTCTCATGAGGGTACACAGTTCATATACCTACAGGCATGTGCGTGGAACACATGCTCGCAAGTGCGTACACTCCAACACCTACGGGTATGTGCACGGAACACAGGATCACATGTGTACCCACACTTCCACGCCTGCAGGTGTGTGCACAGAACACAGGCTCACAACTGTGTACATAATCCTAGGCCTGCAGGTATGTACCAAGAACATGGGCTCACATGTATGCACACTCCCACACGTGTGTGTGCACGGAACACGGGCTCACAAGTGTGTACACTCCTGGGCCTGCAGATATGGAACAGGGGCTCAAACAAGTGTGCACACTCCCATACCTCCAGGGGTGTGCTTTGAACACAGGCTTACAGGCGTGCACACTCCCATGCCTACCTGCACGTACACTTACATACAAACACCCATGAGTGCTTCTCTGGGTCACTCCAGAACACATACAATACATACTCCCACCTGCCTAAATGGACACAGCCCAGGTGCTCACACATGTGTGCATGCTCACACACATGTGCACACTGCCCGAGGTCCCTGCAACATGCCCATGCTCCCACCGGCCTCCAGCCCTGCTAGTACCTGCCTGTGTCCCTGCAGCCAGACCCACCCCGTCCCTGACTTCCCTTTCAGGGTCAGAACAGCTAGTTCTGCAGAGGCGAGGCCCCCTTCCTGTAGACAGCCCGTCCCAACTTCCTGCTTCCTCTCAGTCCAGTCGTCCACTACTGCTGACCGCAGGTTGGAGGCCTAGGGTCCTGGCCAGCCCAGCAGCACCTCCCTGAGGCCACCACCATGAGGAGATGGCACTGAGAGGCTGGGACAAGAATGTCCCACAAAGCAGCAGCCTGCAAACTGCTTCCTGAGCACACACTAATGCTCAAGTACATCTATTAGTAACAGTAGTTACGACAAACGTCACCCAGGTCACCTAATGCAACTCCACAACACGGGCACTGTTATCACCCCATCTTCAAGATGAGGACACTGAGGCCTAGGGCAATGACATAACTTGCCTCAAGGTCCCACAGCTATCAGGAGGCAGGGTAGATAAAAGAATGCCCAGAATCTGAATGCTGTCCAGGAAGTACCCCGAGTGCTTTACTCCTCAGCTGTGAGAATCCATTTCACAGATGAAGATAGTCACCCTTGGCTCCTGGTCGATCTCGGGGGGTGGCTGTCCCCAGGGAGGATTACCGCAGGCCAAGAGGTGCTTTACTCCTCAGCTGTGAGAATCCATTTCACAGATGAAGATAGTCATCCTTGGCTCCTGGTCGATCTCGGGGGGTGGCTGTCCCCAGGGAGGATTACCGCAGGCCAAGAGCATTATTCCCATAATCCTACCAACCCCTCACTATACACCAGAGTAGCTACCATTATTCTCCCCATTTTACAGGTGAAGAAACTGGGGCTCAGAGAAGTGACAGCAGTAATTCTCAATGGAGAGAGGATTTTGTCTGCACTTCTAGGGGCAAGTGACAATGTGGAGACATTTGTGGTTGTTATGATTAGAGGTGGGGAGGTGGCATCTATCAGATTGAGGCCAGGGATGCTGCTCAACATCCTACAAGGTACAGGAAGGCCCCCACCACAGACAGTGATCCAGCCCGGATGTCCATAGTGCTGAGGCTGAGAAGCCCTGGGTTAAGCACACGGATTCACACCCTGCGCTGCCCACCATGATGCTCACCAGTAACGATTTAACAGCAGCCCTACCTGCCAAGCACTGACCCCATCTCCATCTCTCTCCCCATCTCTCTCCCCCATGAACACCCTTAGTCCCACTTTTCCCATGGCAGAACTGAAGCTCAGAGAGGCGAAGGCACTTGGCCCAGGGCACACAGTGAGGACATGACAGCGCTGGAATTGAAACCCAGGCTCACCTAATACCATCCTGGCCCAACCAGGTCCCCCCATCCTTGCCACCCCGCTGTCAGCCCACCCCATCCCCAGCAGGCAGAGCAGGGATACAGCCAGGAGCAGGATCAGCTCAAATGGGGGAAGTAAGTCCAGCAGAGAGGAGGAGCACCCTCCCACAGCCCCACCTCCAGCAGCTGAGTCCTGAGAATATGTAAAGCAGGGAGGGAGGGAGGCTGGGCCTCCTGGGTCCTCCTCCCTTGGGTGACTCACTTCTACGCAGGGGTGAGGGGTCACCTGAGGGCCAGCAAGGCAAACCCAGGAATCAGGGGCCTGGCCTGGCCTTGGAAAATCACTACTCCACCACCTCCCATAATGGAGCAGGAGACCCCAGACCCAGAGCACCAACCTCCCAGAATCCCCCTCTTCCGAGAGTGGCCAGGGACCCAGACCCCCACATCCGGAGATTTCAATGCCTTGGGTGTTTCCGGAATCTGGACAGGACATCCGTTTGCCGGACACAGAACAGACAAGCACACATTGGGACAGACAGAGGGACAGGGGGCAGGCCCAAGCAGCCACGAGAAAGGGATGACCAGGAGTGGGGAAGAGTGGGCAAGAGATGAGAAGGGGGACCAGGGCATGGGTCCAGCCTCATTCCAGGAATCACAGCCTGTCTGGGTCATATGTGGTGCCAAGAGCATGCATGCACCAGGGGATTCCTACACAACCCTCCCTGGGCCGGGAGTAGAGGCAGGGACCCCGGCCCTTCCCAGCCCCAAGGTCTGACCTTGTGTGATCGGCAACACCAGATACGCCCAGCTCCTCGACAAGGCTGGCAGGCCATCAGCAGGACTGGGGGGACACAGGGGGTCACAGGGAAGACACAAGGGACAGGGGCAGGTGCAGAAGGAGATGAGAACCCAGGTACACAGCAACCATAGGACAACAGACTGGATAGTGAGGCGACAATGGGGGTACCACAGGAACAAACATGTCTCAGATTTGGGTCACTGAACCAAAGAAGGTAGGTCACCCTGGTCCTCCTTGTCACAGATGGGGAAGGTGAGTCCAGGGCAGTGATGCCCACAAGGTGGCACAGGGAGAAACTGGCTGGGAGGCAGGCTTGTGCCAGTCACGTGTGTGTGTGTGGGGGGGTGACCCAGCCCTGCCACTGATGCATATAGGTAGGATTCTAGGTATAGGAGCATCCCCAGCCTGTTTACCCGGAAACTCCACACCTGGGATAAGGTTCCACCTGGCAGCCGGGGGTGGGGGGTGGGGGGGTGAGAGTGGGGGTCCCCTGTCTCCCGATCTAATGAGGTGACTCGGGCACTTCCGCCAACAGGTGCCAATCTGGGTGGCGTCCGGACCATCGTAAAGCTGTCTGGAGTTGGGGTTGGCTAGAGCTTTGTTGTGCGGGGGAGGGGCACGGGCCGGGCGGCCTCCTCCTCTCCCGAGGCACCGCGCCAGGCACCTGCCCTAGGTGGAGCGGCACCTGCCAGGAACCGACCGCTGGAGAGAGGGGGATGAGTGCGGGGGGCGGGGGGGCTCGAGAGGCACCGGGACGCACCGCCAGCCACAGACACCCGAAGTCGCGCTTCCGCCGCACCCCCTCTAATTCTCAGAGACGGCCGAGTTTGGGGGTGCGGCGGGGGGCCTCCGGGACCGGCCCCCCCAGTCCATCCGTACCTCCATCTGCTGAGAAGGGGGCCGTGCTGGCTCCACGGTCCCGGCTCACAGAGGGGGCGCCGGATGCCCAGGAAGCCCCCGCCCTCGCCGCCTGGGTCCGGGGAGCTCCGGCAGCGCGCGGGCTGGGGTCCCCGGCGCC